AGTGGAGGCCTGACATAGCAACTGGGCCCCTCACATAGACATATACAGACTGAAACAAGGGAGAAAACGATAAGTCACTTGCACCTAGGATGTGGATGTTATAACATCCCCTGCAAAGTTACTTTGTAGTTATGGTCAACAGGTAGGAATCTCAAGTGTCTACTAATCCATGAAAAGATTAACCCAAGGAGGATCTGTTAGTTCAAAATAGGGATGTTATCAAAGTTTGTATCTCGCCTTTTGTTGCCCCTTTCTGTCTTGTCTCTTTCCCCACCTTACACCTTCTCTTTTCTCCCTGACTTGAAATAAGAGATATTGGGGAGGCTACAGCCACTGGTCTAGTCTACTTGCGAAACTTGCTTTAATCCTATGTATGGGGAAGAGGCCTCAGGGATGAGAAGTAACAAGGGTTCTTCCTTGAACCTTCACTGCCAGCTCACAATATCAAGCCTATGTCTTGCTAAAGACCCAAGGCCACTTATTAGTCTTTCAAGGCTCCCCACCACTGTACAATGGCAAAAGCATGTGCCAAGGCTCAAACACCCTTCCATTATGAGAATGGGGAGGGTAACAACGGAGAGAACGGGCACAACGCAAGTCCACTAGTGGTCTAACAGGAACCCTGGGGCTGAAGCATGCTAAAGAGAAGAGAATTGGGGTCCAAATCATCAAGCCTCAAGTCTAAATAGTATATCTGGTTTATAGGATAGAGAGAGATGCTTCTTCCTTCTCAAAACACAGTTATACTTGGTGTGGGAAGTGAGGGGAATACAAAAAAGAGCATTTCTTAACATATTCCAGCACAGGCTACAAGAGTTTTAACTGGAGAATGAATGTCAGGGGACCAGCTCAAAACCAGATTAAGCAGTAGTGGGCCACTCAAGCAGTTTCTTAATCTTACTGCCAAAGTAGACTACGCCCTCTAGTGGGAAAAATTTTTTAAACAGTCCTTACTAACACTGCCCTGTATCTACTTCTACAAAACATCCACAGGCAGGGGGTTAAATGGCAACAATTATAATCAGCTGAAATTCTGAAAACAAGTACTGAATAACTGTATTTACCACTAATAACTAATGCTGGACACTTACTACACGTGAGGCACTGTACTAAGCAAGCACTCTACAGGCATTACATAATTCAATCCTTGCAATCCGGTGAAGCAGATACCATTAGTTCTGCTTTATAAACTGAAACAAAGCTTCAACTTGCCCAAAGCACCCCAGCTAATGAGCGAAAAATGTGACATTTAAATTTTAAACCTGCCTAGGAAATCTCAGAAAACTAAACGCGCGTGTTTCTTTCCTACCTAAAAAAATTAACACAATGCATTTATTAACACATGACATCTAAGTACTGGAAAGAAGGAACAAGGTTGGTTTTAGTATTTGGGAAAAGTTGTATTTGACTACAACCACAAATCAACGTAAGGACTAACAAAGAAATTAACATTCACTTTAGGCTGCATCAAAAGCGTTGGTCCCCTTCCTTTTGACCACAGGATAAAACAACATTCTTAGCTGAGCATACCAAGTGCCTCAGCTGGGCCCCCAAGCCACTTTCTCAGCCTCGCTCATTCAGAGAACAAATATTTGTGTAGCACTTTAAATTACTGCTAGGCACTATTCTAGTTGTTGGGGATAAAACAAAGCCCTTGCCCTCAATAGTGAGAAATAAAGTAGGAGGAAAGCGGCAAAAAATAACGGCATGGGGAGTGGTGGGGGTCAGGGCAGGTCTCTCTGATAAAGTGACATTTGGGCAGACATCTGAAGTGATAGACTGAATCATGGGGTATTTGAGGAAAGGTTGTCCAGATGGAGGAAACAGTGCACAGGCCTGGCGGCGTAAGCACCTCTGTAGTAATCTGAGAATGGCAAGACCAATGTGTCTGGATCAGAGAGCAAACGGAGAGGAAGGAAACGCTCTGGTCTTGGGGACCGAAGGGACAGGTGTTGGCAGACCACATAGGGCTTTTTAGGCTGTGGTAGTTAACTACTCACTTACTCTGAGATAGGATGTCACTGGAAATTTTTGGAAGAGGTGCAACATCATCGGACATGTTTTTAAAGGATAATTCTTGCTATAGTATGGAGAATAGAATGGGGAAGCACAAGAAACAACCTATGTCTTATTCCTTCTGCCCCCCTCCCCCAATTAGACATATTACCATATTAGCAGTTAGTATTTACTGAGCTCACATGTGCCTGGCATAACTGACATCACAAAACTGCAAAGTAGTTATTACAAATGGAAGGGAAAACAAAAAAGACTCAGGCAAGGACAAGTCGCTTGTTCACAACAAAGAGCTAATAAATGGTGGCATCATAAAACAAAGCACAGGTTTCTTCCACTATAACACACAAGATACCCTCGGAGTCAATAAATTCTGTATCAGACCGTTTTACCACTCAAGTTGTTGTACATATTACCCTCTGACTCAAATAAATACCCTTCCATCCACTTTCTTTTACGGCAAACGTGTTAATTTTTCTAGATCGACTCAAGTGTTCCGCCCTGAGTGAAATCATTCCTGGCTTTTCCCAGGCCGCTTAGCCGCTCCATCTTCTGTGCCTTTACAGCAGCTGTTCCATCGTCACTTCTCTGACACAGTACTCACCTGGTTGCAGTGTAACTGTATCCATTTATATACTTCCACCATTGACTTCCTCATGACAGAGTCATGACTTATTGTCACCTCCCCCACGCCTACATTCCCTTTTCAGTGCCAAGAGCCAAATAAATGCTATTGGAGTAATAAATTATTAAAGAATCAACTGTGGAGTCCCATTCTACTCTATGCATCTTGGACATTTGGTGCCACATTTTAAAAAATTTAAAACATTCACCAAAAAAAAGATAAATCTGAGGTTATGGACGTATTAATTAACTAGATGGGGGAGTCTTTTCACAACGTATATGTGTAACATAATGTACACTTCAAATAACTTAGAATTTTGTCAATTATACCCCAATAAAGCTGAAAAAAACTAGCTACAGGTGGCAATAAGAAAACATAAAGTGGATGGATGTTAACTAGACTTTTGGTGGTGAGCACTTCACAATATACACAAATATCGAACCAGTATGTTGTACACCTGAAGCTAATATGTTAATTATATCTCAATTAAAAATAAAGTGTATACTCTAGGTTTTCTGTTAAGTAAGGCCCTGGATCATTTGTAAAATAAAGACAGACATTTAAACAACAACAAAACATTGAAAGGTAGAGAGCATTCAAAGAAGGGAGACAATAATGAACATAAAATTGTCCAAACAAATAATTTAAGAACCAGAAACACTCAGCCTGAAGGATGGAAGCAACATTATTTTTGTTGGTTTCAATATTAGGAAGACTGAAACTTGTGTGTGAGACTCTTGAAAGGTAAAATTAAGAGCAATATGTGGAAAACAAAGAAAAGCAAATCGTGACTTAATTGAAGCAAGAATATACTAGAAAACAAAGCTTTCCAATTGCAGGGAACTCTCCATTTCCAGAAACATTCATATAAAAGCTCTGTGGCCACCTTGATGAAAAGTATGGAAGGAATGCACCCTACTCCTATCTCTGAAATTGTGAGTACCATTCATGTAATTCCAGAATACTTATAATAGTCCCAGATTTCTAGTTCTGAACTATTTTCTTTTACAAAATTATCAAATTCATCAGATTTTGGAAATATTGTCTCAAGGTTTCTCATTGTGCCTGTTTTCTAAATAACCTGACATTTTTGCTATCTTACCTTTATGCCCACTTCTTGGTTTGGACAGGCTATGTAACACATTGCAAAACATGGAGGACAGAGGAAGACCATCGAAGTAGTTTATATTTCTCTTATGTTTCCTCCCACCAAAACCTTTTAGAACCTGATCAGTTTCTGTGCCAGTTATCCATTTACAGTCTCTCAGCTCCAAATTCACCCTGACGGGCCTCTGCCACTGCTTTCTGGCAGCTGCACCACCAGTTATCAAGGTGGGTATGAAGACATCCGGTGGTGCTGTGCCCCAGTCACAATCCCAGAATGTAGTTTTCCTCGGTGACCTCAAAGACCTGGTCCAGGCTGGGGACCACCTTCCTTTGACGCTTCTAACACAAACACTTCATGTTCCAGGCGTCCTGCCAGCACTGTGGCCCCTCACTCCCTCTGTATGCCCACACACCCGGTCACCAGCTGGAGCTTCCCTGAACCTTGGAGGGCAGCTTCCTGCTTGCGTAATGACTAAAGACCAACTCTGGCCTGGGCAAACCAGTAAACTTCTCTGCCATCCGGTGGGCTGCAGCTATCCCTTCTTCACCAGGTTGGAACCCAAACCTTAGGCCCCCTCTTCCAAGTCTGTCCTTCCTTGGGTACTCTCTCTCAGCTCTCGGGTACCATACAGAGTTCTCTTACATCTTATCTTTTTTGTCATAGCTTAAATTTTTTTTATATTAAATTTCCCTTGTTTAAAAATCACCGTGTGGTTTCTGTTTTGAGACTGGATCCAGACTGATAGGTTCCCATTAAACCAGGTTCAAAGGAGCAACACAATGAAAAACGGTCACTGAAAGTTTTCCTAGACTTAGTCCTAGATCTGTAAACCAGTTCACATACCTGACGAAATGCAAAATATATAAAAGTAAAACTCTTAAAGTGTTGAGGGCTCACGAATAACTTAGAAAGCTGGACCAGCCCCGTGGCCAAGTGGTTAAGTTTGCGTGCTCTGCTGCAGCGGCCCAGGGTTTCACGGGTTCAGATCCCAGGCGCGGACATGGCACCGCTCATCAGGCCATGCTGAGGTGGCGTCCAACATAGCACAACCAGAGGCACTCACAACTAGAATATACAACTATGTACTGGGGGGCTTTGGGGGTAAGAAACAAAAAAAGATTGGCAACACTTGTTAGCTCAGGTGCCAATCTTTAAGAAAAAAAGAAGTTAGAAAGCTTATAGCTAAGTCATCCAAAATACTTACACAATGTTGATCCTATTTGATCAACAGCAGCAGCAACATCAAAAAAGAAATAACTCTTCCAAAATAGGTTTAATTTACCCCATTTTAAAAAGCATTTACAGAACATCACATAAATAAAGGATGTGGTCTCTCCTCTTTGAGCTTACAACCTTACACAGGGAACCAGGCTTAGAATCATCAATCAACACTTTAAGTTTATATGTTCCTGGTTATTCAACATAATGTAAGAGGCACTATGATCAAGCAGATAAAGCAAAATCAATCATCTAACATGTTCTGAGACATCTTCTCCCCTAGGGATACAATGTGGTATAAGAGGCACTATGCAAAGCATAAAACAAGAAATATAATAGCTAAATGAGCCATGGGGGAAGGAGAATGGAAAGCCAACCTACCTGGCTTTGGAAGGTTAGAATGTCCGGAAAAGGAAATACAAGATTCAGTCAGAGCTTTAAAAGATAAACTTTAGATAAACTTTAGATAATCAGAATGAAAGAAAACTTGAGTGTTCCAAGCATGGTAAATACTAAGCACAAAGTGAGAATATACATAGAAAGTGTGGGGAAATCTGAGTAAAGTAATTTAGCTACAGCAAATTTGCTGAAATAAACCAGTAATGTTACAGTACTGGTGTACAACAGTGTTCTGCAAAGACCACTCAGCCTGTCTCAGCGCAAGAGCTGAAAGTGAGGGGAGAAATGTTTAAGGTTGCAACAGGTATGGGGAGGAAAATGGACTAGGCTCAGCTAAGGTAAGGAAGGATGGAGAGAAGTTGTTACACTTGTTACATTGTGAGAAAAGTTGTTACAAAGACTGGTCTAGTCTAGGCTAAGGACAACGTAGACTAAACTGGGAGGGTAAAGAGCTAAGATTACTTAAGCCTAAAATTTTTGTTCAAAAAAGGAAAATGATCTTAGTTACAGACGAGTATAAATAAGAAAGGAAGCAAGACAAGTGGGAAGGGAATAATTTCAAATATCTCAGGAAAAATATCTAACACTATAACCTGCTATACAATATATTTAGGTTTGGGCGTAGGTTTGCCCTATCACTATATGACAGGCAGTACAACCAAAGACAACACAGAGCCGTGTTAGGAAACATTCAATTAATACATGAAATACAAAGACAGTCTTTCACATTTGAAGAAACTTCAGTTGTTCAGAAATTATAAATTTTATTGGCCTTTTGCTTCTTTCGTCTCTTTTCACGCTACTTGCCTTTTGGCAAGTTCACTTCTCCAGGCATTTTCACCAAATAGGTTTTGAGACATAGTGAAAGATGGGACAGGAAAAATGAAACAAAATGCAAATCTGTAAGCGATTTGCAAATCTGTAAGCGATTCCACGTATTCAAAACGTAGCGGGGGGAAAAAGGAATCTTGTCGTGATTTATCTTCAGGCAACATTTTGGTATAGTTACACATAATTTAACAAGACATTACCCTAAACATTAAATACAAAACAATACAAAAAAAATCCATATTTATAAATTTCAACAAGAAATAATATAACAAAAGGGACATACAACCCAAAAAACCCCAAGAAGACAGAGTTCCTCAATTTGGTCAGAAATCTTCAGGAAACTGAAATAAATTTCACAGGAAAAACTGAAAGTAGAGTTCTTACTGATAATAAGGAAAATACAGCTGAGCTTTGAGTTTTCATATATTCATTACACCTTTATCCCTTGATCTCAAATAATTTTGGGGATTAGGCTTGTTAAATTTTTTTCATATTCCATTAAAAATTTGAAATGTTTTATTAAAATGTTCTCATTTTTTCTACTTAACATTTTTCAATATACTAAAAAGAGAGAAAAGAGTTGACAAAATTTTATATTCACAATGTAATTTTTTAAATCTAATTGTTGTCATTATCTGCTTTTAAATTCCCAACTCAGCAGTCTCAATACCATTGTCTCTCTCTTTCCCCCTGGAAACCTCAAGATAAAAAACAGTGAAATACTTAACATGTAACTGATTCAATCAATTCTTTAGAGAACTTCTTAAACATTTATCATTTAGTTTTTTTCTTAGTTGACTCGCCAACATATTTCTTTTTTAAAAATGTTGGAATTAATCATTTTGATAAAGTTAATTTCCTTTTGGGATAAAATACTAAACTTCCATATTTAACATAAAAGGAAAAATATTCCTTTGGTAAGTATAATAAGTTTCTTAAAACATTATTTATAACATAAAATTTCAGAAAAGGCTTTTATCTTATTTAGTACTGAAGAGATGTTTTTGCAAATGGAAGCACTAACCAAATCAGTGCTATTCAGCCATTACAGCACAATCTCTTTGGAGATGCTTTCTAGAGCATCTAGAAATATTACGTCTGACCAACATATAATATGTAATTAGAAGTTTATTTATCTGATGTCTCTATCTTCTCTGCCTTCTTTAGAATTTGCCCAATAGTGGATTTCACTAAGCCTGGAACACGATCAATCCAGATCCACCTGATGTTTACCCACTTAAAATCTGCATTTTTAACAGCCAGCCAGACTTTAAACACCACATAATGCCTTGTTTGATTGTATGCAAGCTATTTGCTGTGAAGAAGATAACAGAACATAGCATGTCAGTGGCAGAAATACCTCCAGAGTAAACAAAACAAATTTATTGGCAAGTCTCTCTCAAACTGGGCAAAAAGAACAGTACAGTGACTGACTCACTGGCCCAGAAATAAGATGGGGATCAGTCTACAGTCTTTGACATGTCAGTTCTATAACAAAGGTCTTATATAGTGCTTTAAACTTGGGGGAAAAAAATTCTTTGACCCAATGTACTTCGAAATTCCTATTTGATAGTAAAGCTACTTAGGAAAGATGCTACTGTTTGGGTAAAGTGTTAATCTGTAGTATCTGTATATCTGTAGTATCGGTACATAGATATTCCTTAATTCCATTTAATCTGTACATAGATATTCTTTAATTCCATCAGGCTTCTTGAAATATGTTTCATTATTTATAATGCTATGCCTTAATTCTTAGTTTTGTGGGTAAAGATGCTGCCTGCTTATTAGTTCACTTGGTAGAAATTGCAAACTATAGAGCTCTGTTCAGTTTCAACTAGAGAAAAACTTTAAAGACAACAGATTGCTTTTAAGAAAGTTCAGTTCTTACAAAATAGCTTTAAAATACAGAGAGCTGCTTTCTGATTTTCCATATTCATTTTCTTTAAATTTTTTTATCAAATTTCATAAAGCAATTGGCCACTGATCTCAGTTTTCACTAATTTGAGGTAACCCCAAAACTAAAATCTGGGAAATAATCTAATATCAAAAAATTAAATTCTCAAGAATCCTCCTCAAAAATGTTTTGTAAACTGTCAAATATTATCAAGATTTTCTTACACAGAATCAAAGCATTAAATTAGGTTCTCTTGCATTTTTACAACATGAAAACATTCCTTTTAGCATCACCCCACTAGAAAATTACTGTTATTTGCAAATACAACACAGCTTAAATATTTGATTTATGAAAACTTAAAAGTAACAGACTTCCATATGGATAAGATACACCATAATGATTTTGGTATTCCTTTAAGCTCATTAAAAGTGGATGCTATCTGTATCAAAAGTCTATTTAAGAGATTTTGAATAGAAACCAGCAAGAGTTTCTTAATGACCCAGAACCAGATGATAAAATGATGAGGATGCTGAAGAAGGTAAGTCCATGTTAGCTTCAAGAGAAGAAATTATCCATCTTTGAATATTAGACATTTGCTGACCTGAAAACCAAGGTCAGACTATAGGGCATAGTGTGTCACATTCTGGTATTTTGGCACAAAATGAGATTAGTTCACAAAACCCATGGACATTTTCCAGTTTAGTTTTTTAAAATACATAATACTTGAACCAATCACAGTACAATGTATGGCTTATAATTACTTTGTCAGTTTAAGCAATAGAAAAAAATACATTTTTGTTCTGTGGTGACTATTTATTGGTTAGACTGTTTTATTTTCCTCTTCACATTTTCGGTGACTGTTTCCCACTGGTATCATCAACCAGGTCCCTCAGTCGAGACAAATGGTGCAAAGCCCTTCATTAAAAAGTATAAAACACATTATAAACCAATATTAAGGACTGAATAGGAAATGGAGACAGCAAGAAATGGTGATTACATTGCTTATTAATCGAAAATTAGTATGAGAAATGAATTTATAGAATAATGTACGTATCAAACTTTGAGAATTTTTTTAAACCCTTGAGATCTGAATAATTGAGGGTTAAAATAATTCATCTAAAATTCTGTAAACATTTACTTTAAAAATTATATGTTTGATATTCAAGTTTTATTTTTTTAAAGTTTGCCAAGTAGCCTAATAACAAATAATAATAAATATCATTTGTATCACATTTAACTAAACGTTTTTTCATGTAATTTTCACAACAGTTCTGTGCAATGATATCTTTTCTTTTGGTATACTGTGTGCATCATTTAAGAAATAAAGTACATAATTCATTTTTAACATGCACATTCAAGATAGCTAAAATTTTTAAAATAGCACTGAAGGATTGGTTATAGTTCTAAGGAAAACCTCATTTTTATTGAGCATGGGGGAAACAAATGACAATTATGTTGAATAATGTGGTATTATACCAAGATCTGGTTTTCCTTTAAAATAAAGCCAAGATTATAGGTCAGGTCGCAGTGGAGAAAACTCAGTCATCCTTCAAACAAACCAGAAAAAGAGAGGTCCTTAACTTTCCAGTCTTCCTCTAAAAATATTCTTCCAGTTTTTCCTCTCCCCTATCCTTCAGATCCTTGAGGACTACTCAGAAAATGTCAGTTAATCAACCATATTTTAGATCTCTGATAAATGAGACCAAGAAGAACAGAAATAATACAAAAGTTACAACGTGCAGTAATCACTAGTGTTCGTCATTTGTAGGGTGAGCTGAAAGGAGGTGACTACAACACCCTATTCTACAGTCTCGAACAGGTTCAGAAAATGTATATTAAACACATCTGCCACTTCACCCAGGATAAGGAGATAGAGGAAACTAGTAGTGTTAATTACTGCATTTTACCTATTTCCCTATACTCTAATTCTTGGACACTTTTACTCAAATGTAATAAGAGAAGAACCTGGATTCTGCCACCCTTTTGGCAACTTCAGTTAATTTTTGAGATTTTTCATCCTCATTAACTAAATGACAATAACTCACACAAAGTTACTAAGCAATCAGAGGTAAAATTAAATATAGTCTACCATTTCTACTATAGTAATATCTCTCTACCTAAAAAGAATTATTTTCTTCCTCGAGACACACATTTATGAGAAAGAAGATAACTTGTAAATATACTTGGGACTTGTCTTCCTTTTTCTTTCCGGGCTTATTATTTAACTACCTGTGATTTGAGAGAAAGAAAAAGGCAACTGGCTAGAGTCTTACCTTACTGTTTATAACTCTGAGAGCCACAGAGACCTTGGACTTAGAGGCTATGAAATTGGATGCGGAAAAAAAGCTTCATCTTTATTTTCACTAAATGCTATCTGTAAGTTAGCATTTCCTTCCATTCTGAAGCTAAGCAGCAAACCAAACTCTGTAACCTCATATGCCACAGAAATCAGATATTCTCATATCTCATTATAGCCATTGCAGGTATTTCAAAATACCTTTTATACTCATTATTTCAAAATTACAATAGTTAAATAATAGTTACAAAATTATGTTATTAATCCCACTGCTAGAAAATATGTAATTTAAGTCTTTTTGTCTACAGTATCAAAGTTCATGTGACATTACTGACCAGTATTAGACAACTTTAAGCCTATCTGTTTATCCACCAAATACTGAAGTCTCTGGTGACCCAGACATTGATACTTTCCAATATTGCCTTTCTCTGTTTGCTGAGCGACACGTGAAAGGTGAGTAAAAGACCACACCATGGTTCAAGGCTTTTATTCAAGCTGTGCAAAAGGCCTTCATACTAACATATGTTTTTACAAAATGAATTTTAACTTACCTATATTTTAAATGCATTAATAAAGAAGCACATACTACTAATTAGAAATTCATTTTAATATTTTCATAACTATAATTCAATAGAATTGATTTCCTTTCTAATCCTATGTAGTTTTTTTAAGCCTTTAAAAACAACGTCAGGGAGAAAGAAGAGAAGAGGAGGAGAGGGGAGGGGAATAGAGGGGTGTGGTATGATGTGAAGGAATGGAAAAGCTAAGTAGGAATGTGAAATCTTCAGTCTCCCTACCTCAGCTACACAATCACCTGGCAGTGCCTTTCATTTAACCTTTATCTGCCCTGCTGAGAATAAAACAGTCAATCTACTTAGAGAGGAGGCTATCAATGGTTAGTGTTTCAAAGGTATGTGTATAGGGAGAAGTGGAAGATAAAACAGTAGAAGGAAATTATTCTTTAATTTCTTCTCTAAAAAAAGTGAAAAAGTAGGCTAACGGGGAAAACATCAATTTAAGGTTACGTTACAGCACTGAGTAGTCATTCATCTTAAAAACCAAAATAAAACCTAAAAACTCATTTTTTTATTGTGACAAGGTATCTATTGATAAGCATTAAATACATAGCAACCCACAGAAATTCAGTAACAGACTGATTATATGAAGGCAATTCAGCTATATTAAAATTTACTCATTGATATCTTGCCTTTGGTTTCCTATTAGTACTACTATACTGGCTGTTGTCTTAAATACTACGTATACCGGCCTATATTCAGCCTAGTATCCAGCAAGAACTGAAAGAAAGGCTTTTCAAAACCAACTGCCTACCACTCCCTAGATCTAAGTAAAGCATGAGTACATAAGAATAAAGAAAAACCTTTGCTTTAGGCTCATATTTTGCAAGTCTGAGAGGTAATTCCATCTATCTCTAGTATAGAATGAAGACTAGAAAACTCAGCAGGAAAAGAGAACTGAGAAAGCGGACAACTTTCTAGCTATAATTAAGTTTGGTTTTCAGAGTATGACCTCTAGTATTAAGAACTACAAATCTTACACATTCATTTCCAAATTATATATAAAACAACATATTCCAAAGCCAGTACAAATTATTTTTGGATGACTGATGATTTTGCTATTGTCTATCATTCACCTTTACAGTATATGAGCAATATACAATTGCTCATTCATCACAGCCAGCCTATGTGGAGTAGCTGGTAGTTTACATGACAGAATAAAAGATTCTAGAAAAGATCCTTGCTCAATTTTTTCATTTGCTTAAAGATGACAAATTTACCTTATGGAGGTTTCAGTTAAGTTTTTATTGAGTGTCCAATGTGTAGATGTATAAGACAAAGCTAAGTATTACAGAGAGACAAAACAATTACAATTTTGATTCCTACTAAAGGCAAATTCACTCTGGAAAATGTAACACTTTTAGCTGCTATCAGTCATGCATACTTCAGCTCCTAGAGAGGAGCTATTTTTAATGGGAGAATATAAGAAAATCGAGTGTCCAAGGGAGTAAACAGAACCCACACTAAAAGTCTGGAATCTCCTAAGGCTAATGAAAGGTATTTTAAAACTGGTTAGCAATCCAAACTATTAAGAACAAAAAATTATTTAAGGAATGGGGAGAGACATAATCGGACTTTCACCCTAGGAAAGGTCACTTAAGCACCTAAGGTACAATCTGTAACATTTGAAGAAGTTGAGTCTACCTATTTTAAGATATGAAAAGATGACCATAAATCTAACCAGAACATTTTACAGTCTGGAAAGAGGAATTCTGAGACTGAATTAAATTTAAATTGTCCTTAAAACAGTCAATCTGCAGACTGAAAATAATGTATATATTAACATGCTTTTATAAGTCTACACTTAATAACCGTACAAATGCCTTATTGATAATACTTTTGAAATGTAAAGTAAAAGCTAAATTAAGGTTGCTTCAGCTAGTCCAACAGAAGCAATAGCTAAAAGCCATCTAAAAAACATGAATCTTACTCTCTGAAAATGGCATTCTATATGTAGGCAAGATTACTGATTGTCTAAGGTAGAAAAAAGTTACTATTAAAAAAAATTCTAGCAAATGGTAAAAGCACCTATGATCAGTGTCAATTTTTGTGGTCATTTAATTATATATGGCCCAGCGTTCCTTTTCACCAAGAAAAATATCCTCTAGGGTATGTACTTTAACTCAGAAAACACATTTAAGTCTGTGACACAAGTTCAGTATGAGTGCTTTTAAGGGTCATGGAAAGCTTGAATCATCTAATTTAAATTTTAAAGCAGAATGAGGTTTTTTATGCTAGGTAATCAATTGAGGCGCTGCAACTAGTCTAAATGGATAAGGCACCGCTCTCATTAAGGAGAGTAGTGTTAGGAACACAGGCTGTAGAATCAGACTGCCTGGTTTGAATCCCAGTGCTACTTCTTACTAGCTACTCAACCTTGGGCAAGGTACTTTATTATTGAGCTTTATCACCTGATCTGTATTTTGAAGCTAAAAACAGTACTTACCTCACAGCGTTGTGAAGATCACATGAATTACATTCAAAAGCACTTAGAACACCGACACGTGGTAAATTTTAGTTTTTATCATTATTCAGTGAATCCTACTAGGTATCAAACACTATACCTGAGTACTACAGCAAGCTACAAAGAAAGAGGCACTACTTCTGCCCATCTACCCAAAAGATTATAAATTAGGTAGAGCGGGGAAAAATCATAAGTATATTTTTAAACTATGAAAACAAAAAAGATATATATATATACATACACACACATATAATGAAAATTAGAGTCATAAGTTTACATGTCTAGTGTTTCACTTTTCCACTGCTTCCTTAGATAACAGAATCCTAAGCAAACTCTGAAAGGACGAAAGGTAGACGGTATTTGTTTGGCCCCATTTACAGCCAAGTGAAGTAGTGCTATAAGAGTAAAAGATTTTAATCTTAGGACTTCCTAAACTCAGTATTCCATCTTCTGAGGGCATGTCATATTCATACAACCAAACCCATAAGTAAATACCTTTCTCTTCTGCCAATATCATGACTACAGGAAAGACTAGTATTCTTCTCCAGTCTTTTAGTTAAGAAATAAGATAAGAAACTAAGAAAATAGGTGGATTAACACCCTTAGAGCATTTAGATCTATCTTTATATCGAGGACATTATATCCCCTTTAGATTTCTGTGGAGATATGTCAAATAATAATACATTCATGATTATTATATTTATCCTAGAGGAAATTTATGAAAACACATTTCACGGACAAGTTGTTCTTCCAGGATATTGACACCAGTACTATCTTAAATTGTTGCTACACTCAGAAATGAAAAGATAATCTCTCTAGGCCATTCACATCCATTATATTTTAGGTGTCTAAGGTTATCTCACTAGGTCCTATGAACATTTTAAATAGGAAATAGCACAGGTTTAAGAGAAAACTTCAGGATTAAACAATATGCTCCAAGCTTAAATATACCTAGCATATCTATTCTTAGAACTACATAATTTCATCCTGTAACGTTCTGATTTCAATCAAAGGGATGGCTGAAATGGATTTGCATCCACAACATATTCAGAAATTAGTATAGAATACTTACTTTTGAAGTGACCTACTGATAGGAACCATACTTTCCTTCAATTGTAATTGAGAGAGATCCTCTTCTGAAATCTATTATTAAAAACACCAAATATGATAAAATATTGAAAATGTTATATAATTATAAATTTAAATGCTACTTAATACATGATTGATAAGAATATTAAAAAATATTGTCCACATTTCCAAGGAAATAATTTTCGCAAATAATTTTCAGTAAACCATTAAATATTTTTATTTTCTCTTCATTCTGAAAATACTCTAACTACTACTTAGATTCATCTTTCAATTGGCCTAAAGTATGCTTTTAAACGTATGTCCAATAAAAAATCAAATCTTGGTCTGAAATTATGACTTTACTGAACAAGGTTATGTCTCAATGATGTTTAAAAGGGCAGGGAAAAGGAGGATGGATTACACTGTATATGTTAATGTTACAATCATTAGCATATAAAGAGAAAAATTAAGAAATACAACTCAAATGAACAGGCTGTGATAGTTCCCAAGAGCTGATTCACTCATCTATAATGAATATTGAATTTCATAAAGCTCTACTGAATAACAATAACAAAACAATGACAATAAAAACATTTATTATGTATTTACCAGGTGTTAAGTTTTTACCAGGTACCAAACACTATAATAAGTACTTTATATAGTTTGTCTCAATTTGTCTTTCAACAACCTCATTTTACAGAAGAAGAAACTGAAACTAAAGAGGGTAAGTAGTTTGTACAAATACCGTACTTGCTAATAAGTAGCAGAATTAGAATTCACAAAATAGACTTGGGAGAATATAAACTCTATGTTCATAAATGCTACAATACTGTGAAGAAAATTCAACCCCTACAGAAGAAGGCCAAAGCAGAAACAGATTTCCACATTCTCAGGAAATGCACGAAAACACAATGGTTTTAAAATAAAACTTTATATATTCAGAAGAGTCAATAAACACAGGTAACAAAATTAAATTTAAGATGATAAAGGGACATGGAGAAGTCTAACACTGAAAAAGTTTCAAGGATTCTCCAAATATAAATGTAAGAAGTTAGACCATACAGAATAATCTTGTAGGGCATTAAAAAGCAACTCTTACGATTCTTTCATACTATAGTTGTAATATCATATCTAAATAAGATGCTGTATTCATACCATTAATTGAACAGAACAAACAGTCCATTCAGGGGGTACACAACTGCAGAAATCTAATAGTACTAAACTTGAGTATGTTTGTCAAAAAAAGAATAATAATACAACTCTATAACATGCACTATATGGCATGCTTATTAAGATAAAACCAGAGGTCAATCTAAAAAAGAAGTAGGAAGAAATCTTTTCACAGATCTCAATTCACATTCACAGGTCTCAATTCATAAATCAAGTTCGTGCTTACTTGCTTAATTTCTTCTCTTGGCTCTGTGGTTTTATTCTGATTAAAACTTTCTTGTACTGCCTGAAGATTAAATAACATTTGTTTCAGGGCTTCAACAGGACCATGATACTTCCCTCCAGAAAGGGTACAGCTCTAAAGTTAAAACAGATGAATGATTAACCATCCAAATTCAGGAGGAAAAAAGTTATATTTTGTATTATTTTCCTCAACATAAAATTAATGCAAAAATCCAAACAAGTCAATAAAGTATTTTAAAAAATCAAAATTGTAATTCATCACCTTCCCACATACCCAGTCCCCAGAAGAAGTTAGAGACAATCGTTATTAACAGTTTGGCATCCTTTCTAGTCCTTGCTCTTTTAAAATGAATAGTACCTGTTTACATTTGCAATGCATTCATTCAGTACATTTAAAATCATAGATTTTTAGAACTGAAAGGTCCTCAGAGAACAGCTAAGACAACATGCTCTTTTCAGGTGTGTAAATGAAGCTGGTTACCAGCTGAGCAAAGACTAGAATTTTAAATATATTATTCTCTGCACACTTTTAAATATGTTTTCACACAAAGAATACTAGTTTTTCACCTCTTCATGGACCACACATTCCTCACTACCTAAAAAACACTCATACCTTGATTATCACTGATCTTACCTGCATCCAAAGAAGGCAACAGCACTTAGCCACATAAGGTGGTTAGGATTCTTTTAAGAGAATCTGTAAGGGATATTTTTAAACTCCTTTTTAAAAGTCTTAACAATCTATTATTTTTACATCTTTCAAATGTGTTTGTGTCCTGATAACTGTCCACCAAGTGGCAAAGAGGCCTCTTAAGGTGCCTGTAATTTAACATATTTCAGCACAGACAGTACATATACTATTAAATTTCAGGTCTAGAGGAAGTTGTTGACTTCTAACATAAGAATAATAGAAGTGAGCTCTAACTGGTGTTAAGCATAACAGCTAAAAAGATTTTAAAGTCACTCTCCATAGTTATGAAGAGGGTATAAGAAACAGAGCACGGGAAGGTAAAAGGGTGCAGCTGCTGTGGAAATCAGTATGGCAATTCCCCAAAAAATTAAGCGTAGAATTACCACAGGACCCTGCAGTTCCCCTTCTGGTTATATACCTAAAAGAAGTGAAAGCAGAGACTCAAACAGATATTTGTACACCCATGTTCACAGTAGCACTGTCCACAATAGTCAAAAGGTGGAAGTAACTCAAGTGTCCATCAACAGATGAATGGAGAAATAAGACGTGGTACATACAAACAATGGAATATTTAGTCTAAGACAGGAAAGAAATTTGACACATGATACAACATGGATGAACTTTAAAGACATTATGCTAAATGAGATAAGCCAGTAATCAAAGGACAAATATTGTATAATTCCTCTTATACGAAACTATGAATTGAATTGTGTCCCCTCAAAATTCATATTGAAGCCCTAACCTTGAATGTGGCTATATTTGCAGATAGGGCTATAAGGAATTAAGGTTAAATAAGGTTGTAAAGGTGGGCCCCTGATAACATAGGATCAGTGTCCTCCTAAGAGACACTGAGAGCTCAAGGAAAGGCCATGTGAGGATGCAGTGAGAAAGCGGCTGTCTACAAGCCAGGAGGAGAGCGTTCACCAGAAACAGAATCAGCCAGCACTTTGATCTTAGACTTCCTGGCCTCCAAAGCTGTGAGAAATAAATTTCTGTCATTTACACCACCAAGCATATGGTACTTTGTTACAGCAGCTTGAGAAGACCAAGATATCTAAGGTTCCTAGAATAGTCAGATTCACAGAGATAGAAAGTAGAATGGTGTTGGCCACAGGCTGGGGGAGGGGGGTAGGGGAGGAGACTTAGTGTTTAGTTTAATGGGCACAGAGTTTCAGTTCAGGAAGATGAAAAAGTTCCAGAAATGGATAGTGGTGATGCTTGCACAACAATGTAAAAGTACTTATTGCATGGAACTGTACTTAAAAATGGTTAGAATAGTAAATTTTACGTTTTGTCTATTTTACCAAAATTTTTAAAAAATTAAAAAGAAAGGGGTGGAAGCATCCAGTTAGGCTTATACCCCTGCACTCTTGGAGACGGCACCCAAGGCATTACCTCTAAATGATCTGCACCCAGTCACCGGTTTAGAAGAATTTCTGGTTTCCTGATGCCAACCACAAGAGTGACAAAAGCCTGCCTCTGGAATTTGCTATGTCTGCCTTGAGTGAACTTTTCATGCAAAGCAGTGGTCAGAGTACCAAAAAAAGAAAACTACAACAGAGGTTATATGAATCGTTTGGTGCCATTCGCTAATGAATAAATAAACGATGGTATGTGTGATAGAATATCTTATGAGACTTGTCATTAAAACCTGGTAATGAATGTCTATGAGTATATCTTTTTATACAGCTCTGACTCTCAGAAGTATAATAATGTTTCACATATTCAAAAAACAAACAAACCAACCAAATAAAATGTGGGAAGAACTCAATATGTACAGTAAAAAATGAACCACCTAACAGTATCACAAATGAACATCATGACCACACTGAAAAGGGTTGAGAAAAAAATAATTAACCAAGGTAACTTTGGAAAACAGCATTTTGACTGTTTGGGGATATTGTACGCCTAAAGACAAAAAGAACTGTACACAAATAATGTAATCTAGTGAGTAAATTTGTTTCTTATACAGGTATGGGTTAGCAATTCTGAAACTACCTATATGCTAAGATTGAACAAATAAGTAAAGCTATTATAGATAATAAAGGTCAGGATTCTCACAGGTGGAGAAAAAAGTTACAAATAAGGAACAGGAAAGGCTAAAATGAACTCTGTAGTATTGGACCAGAATCAGAGGCATCAGCGCAAACTCAAAATTTTATACATGTATGTGAAATATATATATATACAGATAGATATTGATGTGCATGTGCGGGTTAGTAATCATACATGTTTCCTAAGTCTGCCTGCTGCGAAAGTCTAGAATGAATAGCAACTCAGTAGCAACAAGCACACCTGGTGCCTAGTCTTAGTTTCTAAACACCATTTCTCAATAAAAAGAACCATAGCTCCTTAGAGCAGTGCTCAGAAAAGGATGGGGACACATCAAAGGGACACAGGAGGCAACCTTAAGAACTCCTTATGGCCTAAACTGGAACAATCTGAGCAAAAGAACAAACAATAACATTGTATTATAAACTTAGAATAAAATAAATATCTGAGTCCCTATTGATATGAAGAATTAATAAATAAATGGGGGAGAAAGAAAAGCTCTTCATTACACAAGAATTTCAATTAATAATGTAGAAGAAGAGATAAGATTCACCAATGGATACTAAAATTAGTGTATAAAAGTTTGAGACTATGCTCAAACTATCTCCCCTAAGATATTTATTAATTACAAAGGGAAACAGTAATTTTACTAAAGAGAAAGCCAGTACACATCAAGTATTCAAGGTTAACATCATAAGTATTAACGTATTATAATTTTACATATTACTATATTAACGTATTGCTATGTACTGAATGTTTGTGTCCTCCTAAAATTCATATGTTGAAGCTGAATCCTAATGTGATGGTATTGGAGAAGGGGCTTTTGTGAGGTAATTTGTGAGGGTGGACCCTCTGCCTTTGTAAGAAGAGAGATTGCTTCCTCTCTGCTCTCTGCCATGTGAAGATAAAAGGAGATCTGCAAACTAGGAAGCAGGTCCTCACCAGACACCTTGACTTTGGACTTCTCAGCCTCCAGAACTGTGAGAAATAAACGTTTGTTATTTAAGCCACCCAGTCTCTGACATATTTATTATGGCAGCCCAAACTAAGTCTCCTATCAATATATCAATGATATCAATATTATCATGAACCCTCTAACACGATGCACTGAGAAGGGCAGAGCATCATACCTGTTGCATTCTTATCAAACATCTATAACCTCATTCTAATCATGCGAAAACTTCAGACAAACCCAAATTGAGGAACTATTTACAAAATAACCAGTGACCAATACGGTTCAAAAGTGTTAATGTCATGACAGACAAAGAAAGGTTGAGGAATTGTCACAGACCAAAGTAGATTAAGGAGACAAGACAACTAAATGCAATGTTGGATCCTGAATTGGATCCTGGAACTGGACACTGGTAGAAAAACTGGTGAAATTAGGAAAGGTCTGTAGTTTAGCTAACAATAGTGTGCCTATATTAATTCCCTGTTTGTGATCATTATACTATAATGTGAAATGTTAACATTAGGGAAGCTGGGAGAAGGGTGACAGGAAACATCTGTATTATTTTTGTAACTTTCTATACATCTAAAATTATTTTTTAAAAAAACCTGGTAGCGAGGTTGTACGTGTATGGGCAGGGGAAAAGGGACCAGTTGGTTAGTATTTAACACTCATCCATCTCTAATTTAAAAAAACCTTCTGCAATTTTTTTCCTCTAGCAGTTCTACTTAACTAAGTACATGGCACCACCCAGTCCTTGAGTTGCTTGGCCCAAACATCTTGGATTCACTCTCTGAATCCTATCTCCATCCTACCAGGTCTACCTTCAAAATACATCCCAAATCTAATCCTTTTTGATCACCTCCAATGTACCCCCCCAATCCAAGCCTCTGCAATCCCTAGCCTAAGACTGCAAAAGCGTCCTGACTGAGTTCCCTGCTCCTTCTCCAGCTCCTCTTAAGTCCATGCTCCATACGGCTTCCATTTTATATTTTAAAATGTCGATCTGATCATTTTACTCCTTCACTCAAAACCCTCCAGTGACTTCCCTTCACACTTAAATAAAATGTAAAGGCTTCATTCCATAGCTTACAAGACCTGCCATGGCCTGGCTCCTGGTTACCTCTCCATCCTTCCTCTTACCATTCTTTCCCTTTACCATTCTGATTGAGCTACACTGACTAGATTCTGATATTCCTCGAACATGCCAAACACATTTCCACCTTGAGGTTTCTGCGCGTGTTATAAAGTTATTTCCTCATAGGTACCTGGCTTATTCACTCATTTTAGGTTTCTGCACAACTATTAACTCATTACAGTGGCCATTCCTGACTACTCCTATCTCAAATTGCACCCTCATTTCTCTATCTCAATTAATTTTTCTTCCTAACACTTATATTACTCCCTTATATTATATATTATATATATTATATTTCTGTTTAGTTTGTCTCTCCAACTAGAATAAAAAATTCAAGGGCAAGGATTTCCTCTCACTTATTCACTTCTAGCAACACAACTCCTAGAAAAGTGCTTGGTACTCAAATATTTGTCAAATAAATATTTGATAATTAACCTTCACGTACCCAGCATCTGCTATAGTATCTTACATACAGCTCTAAGGCTGGACATATTCTGACAGCCTCTACCTTCTCTAGTAAATTTCACTGAAGGAAAAGACAGATTTTATTACATTTTTAACTAATGTTTGTTTTGAGTGATCAAATTCTCAAATCTTCCAAATTTTAAGATCTAAAAAGTATTATTTCAATATTTAAAAGCCATGGCTTATATTTTTAAATCAAATTATCATTTCTTATGTGCATATATACATGTTTATACTTTATTTTGGGATTACTTGCAAGATGCACATATGCAAATTTTATAAAACTGAATAATAGTTTTCCTATTTTAAATTATAGAGATTTATAATTGTATCTTAGAAACACAACTCTCAATAATCAACCACCCTATGGGAAAATATAATTTACTTTATAATGGTCTGTCTTACATGTTTTCCAGGAAAAAACATTGTAATGACAATTTAGGCTCTCTGTAGAGTTCAATCCCAGGTCCCTCTACTATAGAATACTACAATAAAATTATCAATAATTCTACGAGTGATGGTTTTATAGATGTGTGTTGGGGAAGAGAGGACTTGGGTCATTTTTTCTATTATCTAAATAACAAAAATTAATATCTATGTATTAGTCATAAATTTTCTAATAAGTTGAAAAAGATTAACTTCACTCACCTGATTATCATTATTTAAAAAGTCTTCAAGGTACCCTTTAGCACACTTTGCCCTTGAAGTTTGTTGAGGACTATCATCAGAGTTAACAGGAACAGGGGGTTTGCTAAATAGGATTTAAGGATACAAAACATCAATTAATTTCCTAATTTATAAAAATTACACAGTATACAATTAAATGGTTATTATTTAAACCCAAATGGTCGGCAAGAAATAACCATTACAGGTATGATCCATATTGACGTTGCTTAGTAATTTCCTAATCTTCTCTCTAAACTGATAGCAGAATCCAACCCCTCCCAATCTCCTTGCTTTTCCTTTAAAGCTTGAAGGAAAAACTATAAAGAAACTAAAGACATAGTCTTCAACTAAAAAAATAAGCCTTCAACTATACGCTATGCTCCAAAAGCTCATTTGTTTGAAATAAGCAGTACTGTTTTCCAATTAAACACTGTTAGTTAGCCAAAGATAATACACTAAATCCCCACAAATTTATGAGTTTCTACCCGGATGGCAGTTCCATGCTCTTCCACATCAAAGTAAGAGGACAGACTTCTCCTCCAGAACTGGCATTCACATAGAAGACAGAGTATAGTAGGGAAAGGATCAGTTTTGAAATTAAAATCCCACTCAGGTGGAACCTTAGCAAACTTATTTACCTGAACTTCAGCTTCTACATTTGTGATCCCACTTATCTCACAGAAATAGTGCATAGTTAACTCTACACACCTGGTACATTTAATAGATGCTCAATAAATATTAGTTTCTTTCTTGATGTTCAAAGGATAGTAGAAGGGCACCCCTAGCAAAAGTAAGAATTTTCCCAAAACTAAATTATTTTAGTCACAGAAAATAAATTCATTCTCTCTCTCTCATTTACATAGCAAATGTGTTTTAACTCAAATACTAGGCTAAGAATCTTTTTATAACATTTAAATTTCACAAGGCTAATTTTTTCTTAATAATTAGCAGCACTTCATTATTGACTCATTTGATTTGTAATTTACTATGAGCTTTTTCTCACTCCTAAGTAGTCTTTTCTCCCATCCTTTACCAAAGGAGTTTGTGCACTCACCCACTATCATCAAAAAGCATTTAGCTGATTATTGAAGACAGGTGCATAGACTGAGTATATAGGGATTCATTATACTATTCTTCTACTTTTGTATTTGTTTGAAATTTTCCATTATGAAAAGCTAAACAAACAAAAAAAAGCAATTATCTGGTTGTGGTTGTGTTCTTTCAGTATACTACCTTGAGTACTTCCTAGTCAATCTTGGTTTTGATGACGGATTGATAATAATTTGTCTACGTCACACTGAGGTCAGGTCTATTGATTCTTCTCACAATCCATCATTAAACTTATGTACAAACATATCCATCACAATCTGAATTCAATCTTCCAAAAATCAACACTGTATGCAAGGGACTGGACCAAACCATTGATAATACTAATTATACAAGTCAGAAGTTCTTATTTAATTATAAAATATATCAAATGCTTCAAAATTCTACTCCTAGTTTAAACATCTCTGATATTATTTGCTCACCCATTTTGGTTTCAATTGAAAGCAAAGTATTCCAACTACATCTTTACAAATACACAGTCCAACTGATAAGTAGATAAAAAATTAGAAAATAAAGATAAGTTTAAGAATTAAGTGAGCTAATTATTAATCCATTTAAAAAAAAGATATTATTGAACGTACAATTGAGAAATAAAGCTAAACAGAGAAACAAAATATTCTGGATAATCATCGCCACTACTACAATTTCTAGAAGAGCTCATCAAAAATCAGAAACTGTCGGGGCTGGCCCTGTGGCCAAGTGGTTAAGTTCGCGCGCTCCGCTGCAGGCGGCCCAGTGTTTCGTTAGTTCGAATCCTGGGCGCGGACATGGCACTGCTCATCAGACCACGCTGAGGCAGCGTCCCACATGCCACAACTAGAAGGATCCACAACGAAGAATATACAACTATGTACTGGGGGGCTTTGGGGAGAAAAAGGAAAAAATAAAATCTTTTAAAAAAAAAAAAAATCAGAAACTGTCCTAAGTACCTTAGACTTATTGTAATCAATTGAATCCTCACAACAACCCCAAAGTAAATATTATTTCTCCCTCTCCAAAGTGTAGAGAAGTTAAGTAACTTGTTAAAAGGCCTCAGCAAGGAAGTGACTGAGCCAGAATTCCAAACCATAATTATAGGCAGCGTCCGCATTAAAAGAAAAAAAATGTTCAACTGGGAAATAATCAAAAAAGGACCCAGGAATTAACCGACTCCGTCTATAACAGAATGAAAGTTTAGACAACTGAAAATAATAAATTATCAGAGCCTAGGGTTACCAACAGTACATTTCTGACGACTCGAGATCTAATAATACTACTAAGAATAAAAGCTTTCCTACCTAAGCTCCTAATTCTTACTCCACATTCACATTCACAGGTATCTAGGTAAACACGTTTTAAATTATTCTGAGAAACTATGTCACAGAAAGGTTAAGCATACAAAACAATCTGAGAAACTGCAAACATTTACACAATAGACTATACAAGAACATGTTCATCATTTAAGGAAAATAATGACTAAAAGAGAAAGTAAAATGTAAATAAAAAGGATAACTCATTCTAGTAAATGGAGAAAATATAGAAGAGGGGAAAGCTTAAAGTAAAAAAGTAACAAGAATTTCATAGCACCACTCTTCCATCCGCCAAATAGTTACTTTTGATTCTAATTTCTCATATTAAACATATAGTAATATTTTAAAGTGCAAGAAAAGGAACACGTAACAGACAAAAGTTATATAATCTACCTCCAATCTTATGACACATTACACCATCTTGTGGTAACAAAGGAAAAATGCAATTTAAAGCAAGCAACACTGAAAGCTATGTTCTGTAGAATTACCTTATTACCATTGTTAATTATCATTAATATTTAAAAAATAAATCAGACACTCACATGACATTTTTTATTTGGAAAACTAAACAGTTTTTCCATTGTAACTTACAAAGTAACAGGAGTATTTTCCCATGATCTCTCTGCTTCAAGTTTATCTAATGAATTAGGACTGTCATCCTTTTCCACAGACTTTGGTAATTCTTCTGCACAATGCTCTATATTTCTCTTGGCCTTCAGGATTAGCAATTCAATTTTGTCACCTAATTTAAAAGATTACATTAATTTTTTAAGGAAAAAAAATAACTGCAAAACACAGCAAAATCTCACAAAGGCAACAAGAATTCAGAAAATTTGGAATACACACATACCTCTAACAGCAAATTATGTTAAAATGTGACATTCCAAAGAAAAAAGAGAGAAAAGACATAGAGTCACAAAATGCTACACAAATGAAGACCCTAACAGTTCAAAAAAGATACATCACCTGATCATTACATCAAGAATACAATATAAAAGCTCCTAGATGTAAGGCCAAATTTACAGCACTTTCTTTGGTTCTTAAAAACAAAACAAAACAATTACCACTGAATGGCTTTTTGGATTGTCCTGGGAGAAGTGGATTCTCACATTGACATTGGGTATGTTCAAAATCAGATTTATATTCATTAACTAATCCTTTATCATCACACAAAGAATTTGAAATGTTTGAGGGTTCAAAAGAATATTCAAAACAATCTAATTTATTCACAAGCCGAGAAGTTCTTTGTGCCTGGTAACTATGTCTAGGGGAACACTGATCTTCTTTAAATATTTTATAAATCCTTTGACCATTTGTATCAGGCAGCAAGTCTTGATTGTGGAGCCAGACTGGGTATTTGAAATCAGGTATACTCGTTATCCCTGAGACATTAAGGTCAGATTTCTGGCTAGTGAGCCATCTTGGGTAATTCTTTTCAAGATTATGTTCTGAATTGTCCTTGAAAGATGATTTCTTGAAAAAAGATGGTTCAGAAATGCATTTATTAGTCTTATTCACAAATTTTGGGTTTTTTAGTCTACCACATTGCTTTCCATTTATATTTGTGTATACAATAGGAGTAGCTAAGTTATCCTTCCCCACGGGAGTGAAGGGTTCTTGAAAATTTTGATTCTTTTCAGTGTCCTGCAAATTCAGTCTCCGAATGCATTTCTTGTTTTTCTTGCTAATTCGGTGACGTGGTCCAACACAGGTGAAAGAAAATGATCCATCTGCTGGAAGTTTTAATAGATCATCAGTTGTTAGGCTAACAGAATCTATGTCATTAATAGTCTGTCTTCTATAGGATAAGAACAAGGAGCTTTTCTTGTGATCAAGATTTTCAAAAGCTGAAAAACAAAGCATAGTTCTGTTTATCTTCCTATAACACATAAAAATACTTTATAATATTTAATAGTAAATGAATGTTAAGAATTTAAGAATCATTTTTGCCACTTTATCTTCACTAAAGCTTTGATTAAAAGTATAAAAGGTCTAGGTTGATGAAATAAGATGTGTTCTTTTCCTCACATATTTTCAATTTGTTTTAACAAATTTCTATACTTCTCTCTCCAACCTCCTGAATTTTCCCATGTTCTTTAATTTACTGTTTCTTCAGGGTTTTTTTCATCTAGACACCTGATGCACTCACCTTAATACTGATCACTCAATACTGCTTGCAAAATTAGAATAAAAATATGCTATTGAACTAGGTGGAAAAATAATTTGCTTTCTTGCCTACTAACCCTGAAATAGCATTAACACACAGAAAACAGCTGTTTTAATTCTCCTCTTCTGGAATATATTGCCCACATCCTTCTAAGAGTTGAATGCAAACTTTTTCCATACTAGGGCCATTCCATAAGTGCTTAGTAAAGTGTTAACTGGGTTATCAACAGATGCATTTTCCAATCTTGTCTTTATGGAAGACTTATCACGAAAAAACTATGAACATCTTGTGAATATTATTGTCCCATAGAATACAGATCAGAAAGACTATATATAGCCCTATCCCATCAAGTTGGATTGATTATGTATAAACTCAGAAAGGCTGAAATTTGTTTAAAGTCATTAAGCTAGTGAATGAAAGCCAGAACCACCAACTCAACACTCTCTCCACTAGGTTATAACAAAATGGCTTAAGGGTTCAGGATGAGCCGCCTGCTATTATTAGTTACAGTCATAAGCCTCCCCTACAAGCTCAAAAAAGGATTGTAGCTGAAAACTTCAGAGAACAAAAGAATTACAGAACCGTTTAAGAAAAATATCCAGACCTCAACATAATAAAAGTTGTTTTTACCCGCAAAAGAACAAAAAGAAGCATCTAGTTTTCCAAGGCTACAATACATCTCTCAAATGCTTTAAATCACTGGAAAAAAAGAAAAAAAGCATACCGTTGTTTGGTTTATAAATATAGTTGGAGAATTCTGGGATATTAGCAGAACATTTATCGATGTTAATCTTTCCAGTGCTTGCACTAGGATACATCCGGCCTAGATCAAAATCATCAATATAGGCCTGCAGAGCCTGAGATGCAGAACTGTACAGTTTATCCTTATACTGAAAAGAGCCTTCAGAGTTATAAGAATTACTACCATTCAGGCTGCAGCTTGCTAACAGAGAAGATACTGAAGATTCCCGAGAACAAAGTCTGTGTTTTGTATTTGATTTTGCCATGGCTTCCTCAAAACAGGTTATTTCTATTCATTTCTCTTAAAAACAACTGTAATACAAAAACAAAAGGTTAAGGTTCCAATTAAAAGGAATAACAGCCATATACAGAGAAATTACTAAATATGCAAACTTTTTATAATCTTCTTTAAAGAATAAAATCCATTATCTATAACTCCTCCTTTTGAAGCAGTACACATCACAGATTTTCTGTTCTAGTTATTGTGAATTCCTTCTTCGTTGATTTGGAAAAATTATATTGAGCACCAACTATGTGCCTGGAATTATGTAAACAAAAACTACCTAAAAGTATGTACGGAAAGAATCAAGCGAAGCGTACTCACTTCTTTTTAAAGTCCTAAAAACTACTGATGTACAGTCTTTTCTTACTGTGATATATTCTATGACATCATAATACCTAACATTCCCCTATACAGAATATTTTTCAATTCATAAGCCTTCCATCATGCACTGTAGATTGTAGGTGCTTGATAAGTTTTTTAAAGGCACCCAATGAGGTATTAGAAATAAGAAAAAATAACAGAGAAGACCATCTACTTTCAATATTGTAAATGCCAATATGCAATTTTAGCCAAGCCCTTCCCACAAAAATGATTCGAGAGAACAAAATAATTTACAGTATTTCTCGCTAAAGGAAAAGTCTTACCATAAAGAGCTAGCAAAACACTCTTTGCCTAACATAACATTGTTAATAATCATTTTCTGACCTTCCTTTTTAGTACTACCCTCACTATTTTCAATTCTTATGTTAAACAGACTCAGCCCACCTCTCTCTTAAAGGAGACTTAAATAATTTGGAAATTGACAATGTACTTTCTTACCGTTTTTCCATTATAAAAATTGACAGAATTCCTGTCTACCTTAACAGAGCAAAAATAGGATTTATATTTGAAAACCTAAAAAACAACAGCATGAACAGGCACTACTTCAGTACATGATATAACATTCTTTTTAAAATTAAATCAATGGATTTTCTGTACTAAGAATGAAAGATTAATGTCTAGGACTTAACACATGCTATGATGTAAAGTTAATGTTTAATTTTTGGCTATAATTTTGGGAATATTTTAAGTTATAAGAACTTCCCATGTAATCTTAATAACTGTCAAAGTTGACTTTAAAATATTGAAAGTCTTCTACTTAAAGAAAAGAGAGTAAAACGCCATCCTGCCTCAGCCTTACAGCATGCAACTGCCTTTGCCAGGGAGCTGGCAGCAGTCAGTGGAAGTAGCAGCAGGACCTAAGATAATGGTTGTTGCACCTCTGTGACTTCCCTGGATGCCATGATAATGGTCTACCTCTAGTCTAATGGCTAGACCAAGGCAGTTTTGCCCTTTCTTTACCCTCTCACTAATGTTGTTTAAATTTTCTCAAGTAAATATTGCTTGGATAATAAGCTTCACCAAATGTTTTCTCCCTTATTCCAACACAGTACAGGTTACCGATTTTACAGAACTTAAAAAAAAAACTAAAAGAGAAAGTTCTTGGATTACAATTTTCAGTTAGTGAATAATAAGATTTAGTCTAATTCACAGGAGGCAAAAGAAAAATCCATAATCGAATTTTTATTGTGGAAAGTTTCCAAGGATACAAAAGTAGGAAGAATGATTTAAGAAACCCCTATGCACCCATTATCTTGCTTCAAACAATTACCAACATACCCAAACTTTTTGTCCACCCACTTCTCCACACCTCTGCCACAGGATTATTTGGATCCAAATTCCATATAACTTACCCTTTTCTCCCTAAACGCTTCCGCTCGTATCTTCAAAGGGAAATCCATCATTCCGAAGAACAGAATGTTAACCGAAAGGCCAGAAATTCCTACTACCTTTGATTCAAAAACAGAATGTTCAGTCTTAAATAACCAATAGGAATAGCCCATAGGAAATTAAGAACTCTTAGAAATAACAGCTCTGTGATACATCTTATGACCCTGAACATCTATTGATTCCACAGCAAAAAGACAAGGTTTCGCGAACCAGGAACGCGCCGCTCGCCGGCGCCTCCAGCGGGGCATCCTCCCCACGCCGCGCGCCGGGGTCAAAGCGTCCGCCCTCATCCAGAAACGCCCTCCCCACGGGGTGCCAGCATCCCGGCAGTCACAGCCACACGCAACTCAGAAACCATGTACTAGGCTGCGACAGGGAGTGCCACCGTGAGCGAAGGCAGCTTCTCGGAGGTGACGGTCCCTAGCCCCCTCCCTCCCCGCCCCCTTCGATCGATGCCGCCTGTCCCCCGAGGCCCGCGTCAGATCCTCTCCGTCCCGTTCCGCGGGCCTCCCCGGTCCGGGAGCCCTCGCCCCAAAGCTGTCCTTTTTCCACAGGGACTCTCAACCCCCGCCTTCCCTCAGGACGTGCCTCCCCGCTCCCTCCCCGCCACCTTCCTTTAGCCTTTCCCTCGGGCTGTCAAAGGATGGATGCGACGCCCCTCGAAAATACACGCTGTTTTCGGGCCGGACTCACCGACGAAGGCCCAATAAGACATAAAAACGCACCCTTCCGCAACTCTGCCCCGAAAATCCAGGCGTGCGGTCGGACGGGAGACACGACAAAGCACCCCCGAGCCGGCCGACCCCGCCCCAGGCTCCGCTAGCTGGCAGCTTCCTCCGCCGTCACAGCGGAACCCAACGCCCGCGCTCGCTTTCAAACAGCCCCAACATGGCGCTGGCTTGCGGTGCGCATGCGCGGGGGCGAGCCGGGCGGGGGCGAGCCGGGCGGGGGCGAGCCGGGCGGGGGCGAGCCGGGCGGGGGCGAGCCGGGCGGGGGCGAGCCGGGCGGGGGCGAGCCGGGCGGGGGCGAGCCGGGGCCGGGGGCCGGCTGTCGTTAGGTCGCGCTCCCGGAAGAGGGATGTAGATTCTCTCTCCTCATCTTTCTGGGTGGGGAGGTCCTGGACTCCTTCCACGTCGCAGCCCACCTCGGTCACCGCTGTTCGCCGCCAGTCTGCGTAGGTGACAAGCTGAGCTTCCTTCCGCCAGCTCCTGGGGCTTTGTGAGGGGACCTGGGGGTGCTGGCGGCTGCCCTTCAGTCGCCGAGAGCCAGCCCAACAGTCCTTCCTAGGGAGCTCGGCCTCCCCGCTTTCAGAGCACCCCTGCCGGGATAAGACACCGTCTCGGCAGGGGCGGGGATTGGGGGCAGCTCCCAGGACCACTTCCTTCCCTCCCTCCTCAGTGCCTCCCCCATCCCATCCCTTAGCCCGGCCCCGCTGGGCTTCCAGCCGGCCGCTCACACTCACAGCAGATGCGGATTTGGAGGAGGGACTTTGGCCAGGGATGGGATTTAACAAACTCCTTGGGGACCTTGATTCCCAGGGAAGAATGGCAGTGACCCAGCTCGGATTGGGGACCCAGTCAGGCAGCCCAGAAAGAGGGAGATTATGCAAACAGATGTAAAGACCCACTAACAACATGTGTGAACCTGTCTACAAGGCTGGGACAGGATATCAGGTGCGAAGAAACCCGTTTCAACCAAGTGGTGTATCAAAAAAAGATGCCATCTCAATATAGGTTTATATTTTCCACTGGCCCTATGGGCGAAGATACCTTGACCATTACTTCACTTGAGTGTGTTACAGCTCGTCCGATGTTATATCACCAGGTAATTTAACCTTCGGTTTGCTCTTTCTTCTTTTCACTCTCTCTAGCCCATTAAACTTAACCCTACCTTTTTTCTTAGAAAATGAAAAAGTCCAGAAGCTATGAAATTCAGTTGAGTGGTTCAATTAAACATATGTTTATTGTGGCAGTGCTAGTGATTTGAAAATGAATAAGAAAAAGTCCTTGCAGGAGTTTATACTGTAGTGGAATGTTCCAATCTGTGCAATTTCTAGATCAGTCAGTATCAAGTATGTTGCTGATAGAAAATAAAGAACTGTGTTATATATGCTGGGAGGAGCCCTGCTTAAGGGCCAGCCAAGGACTGTTAATGGCATGAGCTTAAAAAGACAGGCTTTTTTATCCACTTTCCACCTAAATATCTCTTTAAGCTGTCCTTTTTAAAAATGATTTCTTAAAGGTTTTTTTTTCATAAATAGTATCATTACTGTTTCTCTTACTACCTTTTTCTTCCGTCTTGGGGCAAATATAGCAGATGTTTCCTAATGAAGAAATAAAGCGTAAATAAGGAGCATTGAGAAAATAAAAAAGGAAATTATCAAACATACTGACCTAATTAATGGATCAAAATAATTCTACTTCTACTTTGTTCCTTCACAGGTTAAGAGATATGGAAATCTCCATGAGGATTTGGACAAGAGTCCCAATAGCTATTAAAATTCTGGACTAGCTCTATTACGAAAGGTAAAGAAACCAAACTGTCTACTAGGAAAGACGAGTTACAGTGGTTTACTAAAGCTTTTCAAATTTAGCTGGGAACTAGGTGTTGTGCCTTGCTGGAGAACTAAACAGGAGAAAGTAGACTTATGATCCAACCTAAAAAGCTTTAGGTGAGAGCTAAGGAAGACATGTTCTGACAAGCTTTAAGGTTTATTGAAGCAGCTCTTTGGAGAGTTTTTTAAAAGGAGGATTTAAATGTGTCCATTTTAAGAAAAGAAACTAACCTTTCTGATCACAGGGAAGAGGTCCCACACTGTTTCAATCACTTTTCCATATATTAACTCTATCCTTTATAATGACTCCATGAGATAAGTATTACTATCCCCAATCTATCTGTGAAAATTAAGTTCAAAGGTTAAGCAATTTACCCAAAATAATATAGCCGGTGGTGGGTGGCAAAGTCAAGATTTGAATCCAGCTCTGTGTTATCACCTTCTTTCCACTATCCCAGCCAACTTCTCCTAACTGAAAATTGGCTAATGGAACAAAGACCCAATGAGATTCCAGCTTCCTGAACTCCTTCAGAGCGGAAAGAGTATCTTCCTCAACTGTTGTTGCCATACCTACCACATTCCCTAACCCCTAGTAAAGAGTGCAGTCAATGTGTTTAAATTGAATTGGTGTGAACTTGATCCTCTCTGAAGAGGGAACATTTAAGCAGACACCAATGAAGAGGAGTTAGTCATGTGAACATGTTATGAAGAATGTTAAAAACAAAGGGAACAGCAAGTACCAAGAGCCTGAGGTAGGAAGAAGCTTGGTTGTATTTGAGGAGGTCAATATGACTGGAGCTAAGTGAGAGGGAAAACGGGTAGGAGTGGAAGCCAGAGGTCAGATCATTTAGTGCCATTGCCACTCACTTTAAAAAGATTAATTCCCAAGAACACATGATCAACAGATTATAATGCTTTACAAGAGAAAGAAAGCGTGCTCACACTGCTAGAAATAACCATGATTTGTTGAATGACTATTATGTGCGAGGCACATAACAGTGGTTCACAATCAGTCGGTGGCAGAAACAGTCAGTCTCTGACTCCAAAACCTGCTCATTGTACTATACCACATTTTCTCATTTGAAAGACTAGGAATAAAGAGGAAGGGATCCATGCATGCATGCCTTCAACAAGAAATTATCATCTGTTGCTATGTGACAGGCACTGTAGAAATAGGATTAAAATGTAATACAACATTTAAAAAATTTTTTGTATGATTACATTCTTACCAGTCATTTGTTTTTAAATCTTTGCAGGTAGATGGACTATAAGGCACTTACCCAACAAACTGTTCAAGAAATTTTAGGTTACAATCAAGATAAATCGGGCTGGAAAGTGGTTAAAATTTCAGTAAGAAAACAAATATGTTTTGAGTTTGTTTTTTAATGAGAAACTTGTAAGGACTTTTTTTTTCATGTTTTCTCTTACAAACAAAAAATATATTTTTACCTTTGTGTTTTGGGGGTTTTTGTTTTTCACTTTTTCTATGTCTGACAGCTAATTTATTTGTGAATTTTTATTCCCCTTTGAGAAAAAGATAACTGTTTCCAAGAAGCCTTCTAAAAAATTCCAGGGAAATCTGTGAGTACCATTTCCTATTTACAGTTGTTGTTTTGAGTTCAATGGCATTGATGTATCTAAAATTCAGTGCTGCTTCTACAGCTATGCCACATTATTTGATAGTGATCAGGAAATAGAAATTAATTATAAAGCCACTAGGCTGAAATGGGATATTAATAAAATGGACCAACTATGTACCATCTAAGCATTTTCAAACCTGAAGACAATCAGAAAAAAATCTCTTCCACTGAATAATTCACTAAGATAGCAAATTTTCATTTCAAGAAATAACTACTGTAAAAGCAGATTGGTATTTTCTTGCTAACAGAAGTATTTTGTGGTCCTTTAAACACTTTACCTTTCCATTGAATTAACCACTGAAAGATGATGTTTATTTCCCCAATTGCTTTTTTTGCTGATATATGTAATTTTTTTCTGTAAACTGCTTTTAAGAATATTTCTGAGGATCCTCTTATTTCAAATACAAGTACACTAAGAGAAATTGTGCTGACATTTTTAGTCTTATTTTTAGGAGTTGTGCATTCATTGCTCGTGATATCACATTAATGCCATCAGATCATCATATGTTATTGAGAAAACCAAATTTTATTCAATTTCTTCTTTCTTTTTTTGAGTCCACTCCTCCTTTCAGCTGGTTCATTTTGTGCTTCTTGCTCTTTTTCATCTGACTAAAATTTACTCATCTTGTGTTTCAATCCAATTTTTCCAAAGCTCGTTTGCTTTCTCCTGTTCATTTTAGTAATTATCAAGAGGATAATCTTTTTTATCTAAATAATTAACGGTTTTAATAGTGGCACTTTCAAAAACAGGCTGACGAGGGAGTAGGTAAGATCAAGCCCAGGCACAAGAGAGGAATAAACTTTGGATATTGTAGTTTTTTGGTGCCTTACAGATCAGACCAGTGTAGACAGCAACCTATGCATCAAAGAAACCTTGGAAGATATTTATTCATTCTACAAATACTTTCTGGGTATTTATCAATGTCTAGAGCCATTTAAAGAATAGCCTCAATTAGGCTGTTTTAAAGCTTTATTGAGATTTCTTATCAGAGATATTTTATTCTTACATGCAAAGCTAAACAGAGAAAAAAATTGGAACTTTTTGCAATCACATTTTAAGTGAAATTTGTATGCACTGTATATTAGTTATTTATTGATGCACCATAATATCTTGCCCATATCTTAGTGACTTAACAGACATTTATTATCACGTCGTGTCTGTGATCAGGAATCCAGGTATAGCTTAGCTTGGTGCCTCTGCCTCAAGGATTCTCACAAGGTGTCAGCTGGCGCTTAGGTCTCATCTGAAGGCAGCTCTTCTTCCAAGTTCACTTACATGGTTGTGCCAGGATTCAGTCCCCCATGGGCTTGTTGGACTGGAGGCCTCAGTTCCTTGCTGGCTCTAGGCTGGAAGCTTCCTCAGTTGTTTGACATCTGGGCCTCTCCGTACGGCTGTTCACAACATGGCAGTTTGCTTACCTCAGAGTGAGGGGTCTAGAAGAGAGCAAGAGAAAGAAAGAGCAAACAAAACAGACTGAGCCAAAGTCTTTCTGCAACCTGATCTTGGAAGTAACCTCCCATCACTTTTGCAGTGTTCACTTTATTAGAAGTTAATCACTAGCTCTAGCCCTGACTCGGGAAGGGGGTTACACAAGTGTGTGACTACCAGGAAGTTGGAGATCACTGGGGGCCATTCTAGAGGCTACCTGTCACACACTAGTTTTGGCAAACTCTCTTTTAATTCTTTTTTATAGTTGGACCATAGTCTAGTAAATATGAAACATAGCTTCAAAATTAAGATTGATAAAACATACATGAAACTCAATTTTGCATGCTTGTTTTCTCAAGTGCAACCCACTGATTGTTCTAAATTTGCCATGTTTATGTAAAGAAGGAGAGTATGACTGGAGCAGTTTATATTTTTTAAAATCTCTGTATTATTCTAAATCAGCTGTGGCAGATAAATGTTTCTTACAAAGGAAATCAATCTGAACATGTTGGTCAGGTTGGTCTGCCTCAGTCCAAAGTTTGCCTCCCCCAGCCTGGAGTGAGAAAGGGAGATTACAGTCAAATCAGGGGAAAAAGCTGAGGAAGCTTAAAATTTTTCCAGTACGTCACACAAAGTTTCACAGTTTTATTTAAAGAATTGTAAATAATCAAAGCAAGAAACATATGCATTTGAATTTAGAATGGGCAACAGAGTGTAAACACTGCACGCTTTGGGGATCTATAGCATGGTCTATTGCAGTTTGCCAAACTCGGTTCTGGGAGAAATGTAATCCCTCAAAATGCCCTGGGAGGCAAAAATGGGTTGCATTGTCAAATAAGTTTTTCAAAACACTCCAGACTATATTTTCTTTTTGGAGATTCATTCTAAGGTTCAGAGAAGTCTTAAAGAAACCTGTTCAACTTTAAGTCAGACTTTTCCAATTGTTTTTAACCAAGAACATGCTTGTAAAACATTGGCCCAGATAATGGATCATTGATCTCAGATTTGGATTCTAATAGAAGCTCTAATTGACTAGACATGTTAGAGAGAAGTGATTTATTTTCCACTATCTCCCAGCTATCATCGTGGTGCAAGCCGCCATCATCTCATCTGAATTATCGCAGTAAGCTCCTCATGGACTCTTTGTATGTACTCTTACTCAACGACATCCCCTTCTTCAGACAATGGCCAAAGTAGATTTTTGAAATATAATTCAGATTGTGTCACTCTCTTGCCTAAAAACCTTCTAAAGTCTTCTTATTGCATCTAAAATAAAAGCCCAAACCTTTTATTTTGCTCTGCAAGGCACTGTCTGGCCCCCGCCTACCTCTCTGACCTCTCCTGCCACTTCACCCTCGCTCCCCTTGTGCTACAGCCACAACGGACAACGGACTACTGTTGCATGAAGGCACTGAACTTAAACCCATCCCAGGGCATCCGTAGTTGCTCTTCTCTTCCCTGGCATGCTCTTCCCCCAGATCTTTCCAAGGCTAATGTCATTTTTGCCCTCAAGATCTCAGTTTCATTGCTTCTCTTCAGAGTGACCTTCCTGGCCATTTGGCCAAAATCCTAAAATATACCCAGCCACGGTTTACTATACTACTCTGCTATATGACTTCTTCCTAGCATCTGTCGCTATAGGAAATTGAGCTTCTTCCTTTTTTTCTTATTTATTATATGTCTCTCTAATTAGCTTATCAACTTGATGAGAATAGGAACCTGAACAGGAACCAGACTGGAACTAAGTCAGTCTTATTCATCGCAGTATCCCTAGCACCGGAACGGTGTCTGTCACATAAACACTCAATAAATATTTATTGAATGAATTTATGGATTTTGGTTATATTATATTGGCTGCCAAAGAGAAATTATTTAAACATCTTTACATTCCCCTTATGACTGCAGTATAAAAAAATAACCTGAAAATGTTTTCTCAACACTTACACCTTTTCTTCATAATTTACCACCCAAAAAGTTCCTTTTGTGGTTAGCTTTGAGCACTTGCCTGTATGCATGAGAAGAGGGTCAGTCATTTGGCTGGAATTTCTTTCCTTTCTACCCTCAAGAGATGAAATACAGACCTACCAGGACACGGTTTATTCCCTAAATGTTAACTGCTGCTGTAGTATATGTCAGGCGCTAGGCTAAATAATTTTATTTCATTTTTTAGCTTACTCTTTATGTATCCCACAAGTAGTTTCTATTGCCTGCTGTGTTTCCTGTGTATAGATCACACTTTCCATGTTTCTTTGCATGCATGCCTTGCAGTTTTTTCTTGAAAACTGAACATTTTAGGTAATGTATTGTAGCAATTCTGGATACAGATTCCACCCACCCACCCAGGGATGATTGTTGTTTGAGCCTTTGTTTATTTGGTTAGTGATTTGGCTGGACGAATTCTGTGAAGTTGGTTCCCCCCCACCCCCAGTCTGCAGCCTCTGATATACCCGCTCTCATGTTTTTCCTTGTTTTTGTCTTTTAGTCCAGCTTCCTATAGGTCACCCCTGGCTCAACATAAGCCATTTATTGATCACAAGTTGTGCTTAGTCCCCAAAGCTAGTAAGATTTTTACCCTTTACTGTCCAATCTGTGTGTGGCTTTGGGACTGTTTTCCCAGTTCAAGGAGTTTTATGGTTTTGCCCTACATTTAGCCAGGGACCAGGAGCTTAGAAGTTGTGTCATCAGTCATTCCTCCTAGGGTGCAGCCTTGGGCATACACACATTCTTCCAGACCACCAGCGATGAATATGATTTTATTTTAAAATGGTCAGAATAGCTTATTTTTTCAGTTAGTGATGGGTCAGAGGTTATTCTCAAGTTTCTTGAGCCAGTAAGACTTCAGCCCTTTGCTAATTAATCCCTGTCTGTCTTGGGGAATGTTTGTAGGTCAGCCGAGCCACAACTTGGACTCATTGCTCCTAAGTAGGGGCAGCCTCGAACATCAACTGTGATTGCTCTGAGTAGGGGCAGCCTCATACATTAACTCTGATTACTCCTGGGTAGGAGCTGCGTAGCACATCCACCCCTCTTACTCTGAGTAGGGGCTACTTAGTACATCCACTCCGATTGCTCCTGAGTAGGGGCCACCTAGTATGTTTACTCCAATTGCTTCTGACTGCTTCCCTTCTAATTGTTCACTGACAAAATCTCTATTGTTTTTGAAAATTTCTCCATGTTATGTTTTAAATGCAATTAGTCTCCTGAGGCAGAAGTGAGATGCTGCCAGTCCTTATGTCTTGCCTTTGCCCCTGAGCAGAACCTGTGCACTCTTACACTGGAGCCAAGTGACACCTCCACTCCATGAACAGGTGCAGGATGTGGGGGTGGCGTAGGGGAGGGATGGTACCATGACCTTCGCAGTTTGCTCCTCTTATTCTGAGGGGAGGCATGGTGCAATTTAGGCCCCAGTATTCACAGACTATTGTGCCTTGGGCAGAGCCCTCACCCTACCAGTGAGATCTGGGTGGGTAAGGAGGCCCTGGTCTTGTTAGCAGTGCCTGCTGGGAATAGGG